CCCAAGCGGCGCACTGTAGCAGTGCGCCACCGGGCCGGCCTATCTCTTTGGATTTTTGCAAATGCTTAGCACAGTTCTTATTACACAGTAAGTACCAAACATAGTCAACTTTTCTAGCTTCCCGCTACACACACACACACACACACACACACACACACACACACACACACACACACACAGAGTTTTTATCTCTTGGCTGGTTGTCACATATGGAACTATTCTAAATGCATAAAGATTTTGAAAAAACTGATTCTGAATAGCCCAAATTTTCCCTTGTTTTCTTTGATTGAAGTCTCCAGAGAGGCATGTACATCTCTAATGGATGTTTACTTATATTTTGAAGTTTATATATTTTTCTCTCCCTTCTTTGATTTGATATAATTAAGGCCCGAGGTTTAATTTTTGCAGTTAATTTTTGATGGAGTGAAGTTTTTGAAACCTCATGTGCCTTTTGGTCTCTACTCTGGAAAACTTCAAGTGCTACTAAGTGATATGGCAAGGTGTAATCTGATTGGATTTGTGCAGCACAGTCCACTTAAGCAATAGCCCCAGCCACAGATAACAGCATGTTGGTGTGGAACAGACTATAAAAACCTCAGTTCTTGACATGCATTGGCGGCAGTACACAAATGGCAACATAAAACACAGATATGAGCTGGAAAAGTTAAGTTTGGGAAGAGGAACTGCATTATTGTTCAAACAATTGAGAAATGTGTGAGAGTAACACAGGAAACAGGGGTCAGAATCACCAGGGCTGCTGTGAAGACGCTGGCAGGAGGCTCCATGAAGCCCTAATGGAGTAGCCAATAGCAACAGCGATTGCGGGGAGGCTTTGATCCTCCTGAAGGAGGGGCTGGGCAGCAACAGCAGGCATCACCTTTGATAAATATCAGGACGGGGTATTTATAAGATTTCTATTTGCTGCTTTGGAAGAGCCAGAGCTGCCCTCCTTACCTGGATGGGTCTCTTGATGTTTCATCTCAGCCTCTCAATTTCTGATAGTTAGATTCTTGAAGGGTAAAGTCTTCATCTATGCAGTGCAGCTACACCATGGGCTGCAGAGTTTCCCTGGTTCAATGGATATGCATGCCCAAGAGAGAAGGAGAAAGATTTCATTGTTGGTTATACTTAAGTCAATGTAAATCTTTTCATCCCCTTACCAGTGACACACTTCTTCAATGGAAAGAAGCTTATTATCTTTGAGGCCTCGGGTGCCCAGGTGGTCCATTTCTGTGATTCTCCAGGAGCTCCAAGAGAATGGCTTGTGTTCTTTGTTAGAAGCCACAAATGAAAGAATAGAATAACCTAGTTTAGAATTCTGATGTCTCCAGATTCCCGCTGTGCTGTACACGTTAATTTATTTATATCCCGAACAGACAGGCACTCCCATTATCATTGATCCATGCTTCAAAACTATGATTAATCAGATCTCTATCCTTTCAAGAAGCTGACAGTCTAGAAGGGGAGATAAGAAAAATGATCAAAGTACATAGAATGCAAGGTAAAAGTATTAAGTGCTTTGAGAAGACTAGCTAACGTGAGATGGGTGTGCAGGAGGGGTGTTCAAGGAAAACTTCTTGGAGGAGGTCATATTGTATCTGAGTCTTCAAAGATTTTCTCAAAGGTAAGAAGAGGCAGGACTGAGAGGGAAGAAGGGCAATTCAGACAGAGGAGTCTGCATGGATGATGTCCTGGAAGCTGCAGATGAGGGACTGGATGTGGAGAGTAGTTGGGTGGCTATTGCAAACCACCTGGGCAGGAGGCGATAAGAGCCTAACCCAGCGAGGTGAGAGAAAGGATCTCAGATGTTACAGAACTCTCTTTTTGGCTGTGTGGGACAAGGACGAGAGAAAAGTCAAAGTTGCTGCCAAGCTCCTGAGCTTAGGTGCTTAGGAAACAGGTGGTGCTGTTCTCAAGAATAATGAACAAAAAGAGAAGAAAGGAAGGAACATGATGAATTCACTTGAAACTGTAATCCTACTGAATCTGAGGTGCCCGTGGGACATCCAGATGGATGCATCTAGAAAGTCATTGGATGTATTAGTGTATGTCTGGGTTGGAGGTAAAGGTTTGGGAGTCATTTACATAGAAGTGATAGTTGGAAACAAAATAGATGAGCTTGCCAAAAGAGAATAAAGAATGCAAAGTTGCATTCTTGGAGATCATCTTAGCTTTTGGGACGAGGGAGAGAAAAGCTAGAGAAGATTATCACAGAAAAAGTGGCCAGAGGAAAGAAAACAGGAGGGTGTGTTGTCTTTGCACTACAAGGAAGAAGAGACTCTTAAGGAGACAGGCAGGGAGGATCGAAGGGGTCAAGAAAATTGAGAAAAGGCCATTGGATGTAGTGATTAAGAGGTCATGGTGACCTTGGAGAGGGCTGCCATAGTAGATCGGGGTCAAAAGCCATATAGCAAGAGGTTAAGGCAGGAGTGGGTGGTCATGAAGTAGAGGCAGCGAACAAAAATTATGCTTTCAGATGGTGGTAAAGCTCGCGGGGTGGCTGAGATTCACAGAAATGGAAAAGAACAAAACAGTGGAAAGAAAAGATAACCAGTGGAGCAAAGACTTGGAGCGGGATGGCTCGGAACAGTTCATTGTCTGTGAAGTGGCTTTGGGTGGAGAAGAGCTGAGGTGGAGTGAGGGCATCTGCAGGCGGGGGCAAGCCCTGAGCTGGAGGGGAACCCACAAGGTCTAGGACAAAGATGACGAAGTAAAAGCAGTGCTGAGCCTTTGGCAGGACACGCTTGGGTTTAGGTAACGTGATTTGTAGTGGAACTTGTTGCCCCAGTTTTGTGGCTCTCCTCGTGAACTCTTGGCAGTTACGGAGGAGAAAATATGAAAACTGTGCTCTGCTCAGATGGGCAGATGAGATGGAAGGAAAGTGGGCAAAGTCATCTTGACTACTAGGAATGTGGATGAAGGGTCTGACCACACACAGGGTTCTGGGGTATGAGGCAAGCGAGGCCGGCAAGTCAGCACGTCCCCCACGAAGCAGCAGCACACATAGGCCAGTAGCAAGGACAACAGACCGTTGCACAGAAATGAGATGAGATGGAAGAAACAGACATGTTCCTCAAGGCAGTGAAAATTAAATGTTTCCCTTTTCTCCTTCAAATGAAATCAAATCTCAAAGAAGCTGAGACAGATGAATCTTAGGGAATGATAGCCTCTGAAAAGTGCAGGGGGAGAGGAAGAGGGGGTTCAAACAGGTTGTGGCATGAGGAAGGAGAGTGGGAAGGACAGGTGAGGTGGCCATACATCTGGTGGCCGGATGGTGGGGAGATGCAGGGCCGCTCAGAGTGATGGCCAATCTTGACCTCCCCTTGTCCCATTTCCCCCCATAGGAGCTCTTACAGGCAAAACAGGATCTTAAAGATCTGCTGATAGCCAAAGAGGAGCTAGAAGACCTCTTGAGAAAGCGGGAGCGTGAACTCACGGCCCTGAAGGGGGCCCTGAAAGAAGAGGTTTCCAGCCACGATCAGGAGATGGACAAGCTGAAGGAGCAGTACGATGCGGAGCTGCAGGCCCTGCGGGAGAGTGTGGAGGAAGCAACCAAGGTGAGTGCAGTGAACCAGCTGTCGGACCCTAAGGATGTCAGGACGGGGTAAGAGAATCTGGCTCAGGAGCAGGTGAAAGGGTAAGACCACCTCTCCTACACCCATGCAGATTGTTTTTCTTCCTTTTAATTACAGAGCGAAACTCAGTTTCATCAGATCATGGAAATAAGATTGTTAAAGAATAAGCTCAGTCATTCTGCTGTTGACCCTTCAATACTGCTAAGGACATTGGTTAAAAGCTATTTGCAGGAGGTGAGATTTAGAGGCCCTGAGTGAACTCTTGAAGTTCTGCAGCCCTTTGCAGAGTGTGAGTCTCTTGGTGGTCCTACGGGTCAGAGGCATAGGTCATTGCGTGACTTTACTAATGCGGCAGAATTTCAGACAGTACCCAGATTTCTGGAATCCCTCACCCCTGCCACAGCCCGTTCCTTTGATTTTGTGCAGGCTTTTGTTAAACAATTCAGGTTCTTTTCCCAGGAAAGTTACAAGAGGGTTAATTGGCTGAATTGCCCAAACCCTTACAAGATAATTTTTCTCTTAATTGAATTCTTGGCTTCTACAAATAGATTCTAAATTATGTTGAAGTCTTTTGGTGCAGGCCTCATGTTGGCTGTTGAAGAAGAGAAAAACAGTTTTGAACAGGAAAATGCTTTGAAATATCATGCCATCTTTAGGGAAAGAGAGGAATTACATAGTATAAAAATTTCAGATTGTCTGCAATAGAGAGGTTAAAACAGTGTCAAGAACTCTTGATATTGTTTGTTTATTCTGTGATGATTACAGTGACAGCTCAGGGCTAGTAGGCCCTCTCTTCCCTGAGCCCCATGGTGATTCACCGATTTTCAATTATGGCATGATAATTGCAAATGACAAGAAGTGAAAGATGGGTTTGTTTGTTATAACCATAAAAAGTCTGGGAAATAGTCTGCTTGGGGTTATGATAACTTTGAGACAGTTTTTAAAAGCCTCTTGTTGATTCACCAATCTTAGCTTTTTTTGAGAGTTGATTTAATTTGAGGGAGGAAAGTGAAACTGATTTAATTTTCTTTGCTTTTAGGGGACATGTCTGTTTTTGCCTCTCATTTTATTTCTGTGCAGCAGCCTGGTGTTCTTGCTATTGACCTTTATGTGCTGTTGCTTCATGGAGGACGTGCCAATAGGCTACCGAGCAAAGTGACTTTCCATTGACCCATCATTTCTTTGTCACCTTTAGACCTTGTATCAAAGCTTAAGTTAACCTGGTATATTCTGGGTAGCTCATTTAAGTTGAGGATGGTGTTTGGGCATATGTTTGTGGTGATTTGACTATAAGGAAAATCAAACTTGTGCCACCTATGGGCTGGAATATATTTTATTGGAAGCTTCGAGGTCCTCTCCTGTCACAGATATGTAAGTGGGGAGAGGAAATGTGATAGGTGGAAGAGGATACCTTGTGGAATTGAGATCATCTGTAGAAACTTAGGCTACTGCCTTTTGACACTTTCAAAGATCTGCATTGTGTGTTAGCTCACGGTATTTTCTTAATGCCAATTCAAGAAAGGTAGCTGCATAGACTCACATCAGTCTCTGAAAGAAATAAAGAGATATCGTTGGCAGAGAACACAAGGTTTCCAAGCACTAGGAAGCTAACACAAGGGGTTTGCCTTAGTACCTAATGGGGAGTGTGCCAGCGAGGGCTCTTTGCTCCAGGTCATATTCTACACTGCTGCCAGCATCTTTTCTAAAAAAATCAAATCTGATCATGTCAGCCTCTGCTGCTTGGCTCCCCATTGCCTCTGCCTTTAGTTCAAAATTGTCAGCATGGTAGGCAATACCCATTCTCTGGCCAACCCCATCTCCAGAAAATTCTGTATTCTTTTAACCCTCTTGCCTCTTTACCTACGTAGAATGACTTGCACCTATTTCTCCACCTGACCAACCTCTTCTCTTCCTTCAAGACCCTCCCAAAATGTCCTCTCCCCTGTGAAAGTGCCCTACGTACCGCTACTGCCTTTGGTGGAGTTGCGCCTTCCTTAGGGTTTCTGTTGAACCCCGGCCATTCCTCTCCTGTAGTTTGTATCATACCCTGTCGTAATTCATCATTGCGTCAGCCTCCTCCATTAGACTCTGAGCTTCTTAACCACAGGGGCATTATTTATCTCTTTTCTTTTCCTAGAGTGGAAATGACGAACTCAAGCACCTCTGGGGCCAGACAGAGAGTGTGAATGAGTGAAGCTCTGAATGTGTTGTTGGGGTGACAGTAGGGTATGGTGGGGACTGTAGCAAGCTGGAGAGTGTGTCCTTTGCTATAGGGGTCAGAGGCTTTTCTGCTCCAGCTGAAAGTTGCCAATGAAGGAATGCCAAGTCCATGTTGCTAGATCTTTCCATTTTTCAAGAGAGGCCAGATATCTGGATGTTGATGTGTGATCTCTTGACTTTTAAGCATTGCTTCAAATTAAAAATAAAATCACATAGACCAAACATAACCCAACTGCAGGTCAGCCGTCTGTGATCTTAGCCCTTGAGCTTAGAATAGTGCCTGGCTCAGAGTCTCATTTGTGCAGTGTCTGATGAGTGAAAGTTAGATGAGGACAGATCCCCTTCCTAACTGGGTTTTGAGTCCCTATCATGAGGTTCCTGTTGGATTTTTCTCCAGTGGTTATGTGGGAAGTCTTTTAGGGAATTCTGCTATTACTCTGAATTTCTGTGCCTTGCTTTCAAATTTCCCTGCAGTTTCTTAAAGATTATGATTATGTTTTTGCATCTTGTTAGCTTTTGCTTCTGAAGGTGGCTGCTGACCAAATGTGATAGAATCGTATTTTATGAAAAAAGTGTCAATTTAGTAGACAGATTTTGTCTTTTTGTTACATTATTTACCTGTTGGTATTATAAAATAGAATTTTAAGACCAGTATATTAAGTATTTGGAGGAGAGAAAATTATACATAATTTTTAAATCTGATGAAGAGTGTTTCTGAAATTTGTGCACTAGCATTTAGGTTTTCACTGCCTCAGAAAAAGGACCTACCCACCAGTGTGACTAAAAGCTGATATTTCTTTAAGGAATTGCATTCAGAAGTTCATTTCCTCAGTAGGTCTTAGGAGTTTGCTCAACATTCTCTCATCAATTTTTCTAATTTTTGCCACTGCTCTGGGGCCCAAAACTCCTAAAGTGCAATTTTATCACTGTCAGATAACACATGCTTCATCCTGGCCTGAGCTTGAGCACTAAAAGTTTTAAGTGACTAGAATATTTGGTGAAAACTATCAAATTGTATTAAGAACATTTTACAGGTGTTCCAAATAGGTGCTCTGTAATAGTGTTTTGTAGAACCAAACAGCCACCCCTTTTATTTTATTTATTTATTTATTTATTTATTTTTATTTTTTTTTCCTTTTTGTCTTTTTTACTGAGCGGTAACGGGATCGCAACCCTCGGTGTTGCGCCCGCTCCACGCTCAGCCAGTGAGCGGGAACCGGTCTCCACATGGGATCCGAACCCTCGGCGGGAGCGCCACCGCGCTCCCACGCGGCGCACTCTCCAGTGAGCCACCGGGCAGGCCCAAGCCAGCCACCCCTTTTAAAGAACAGGTTGCTCAATGGACAAGAATTCATGAATGCCTCAGTGGTGGGTGGCGGGAGGTCCTCCCGCTGCAGAATGAATTGTACCTCATTGGCGGAGCAGTGGTGCTTTGGGTTATTTTGTGAACTATTTAAGTTTGGTTCTTATAGAGATATGGAATTTCTTAGTCTGGTAGGAAGGGGATTCTTATCTATCAAACATTCTTTTAAAGGATTGTTAAGTATATTGGCACCTTTTTTCTCTCTTATGTGTCCTTTTACACTTCTTTGAGTTTTGAGAAGAAAGTGTCCTCTTTCTCCTTGGGTTTGTGGCAGTGGCTGGAACCCATGTGAGGAAATGGAATGGATAATCAATGGAGATGTGGATAATTGCCATCTGTGAATGAAATAAAGACTGTCCCCAGCTGATAGCATCTCTTTTTCATCCGTAACCCTTCCTATCTCCAACTCATGTGCAAAAGAGAAGTAAGGATGGTATAGTTTCTTAAGATTTCCCAGAGAGTGGGCTCAGCTCAAATGCCAGCTCCTCCAAGAACTTGCCTGGTTGCTTCTTGGACCTTACAGCTTCTAAGACCTGGTGTGGCTGGACATTTTGTTCTGGATTTTGTCTTCCCTGCCATAGTGGGGACTGTCATCATTTTCCACTTGGCATCTCCACTGTGCTTGGCACTTAATAGATGTTTAGTAAATATTTGTGGTTCAAAGAATGAGTAGACGAAAGGAGAGATGCCCTTAGAGTTCCCAACTGTTTTGGCTTCTCATTTATGAATTAAAATGATTTCTCATGAAAATGAGCAAATCTTGTCTGTTAGGAGCAATACCGTAATGTTGATCTTGGAAGGACCAATTCTGCAACTAATAACTGCAGGTATTTTGAAGATGATATAAGAGCCGCTTTTATTTTTGTGCCAGGTAATATGATTTTGGGGCTACCAGGTATTTTTGAGTGTCCGGGATAAGCAGTTTCACAACAAATGTCTCCTAAGTGAGGGAGAAGAGGGGGAAAGCTGAGGTCATGTGAGCTGCTCTTGCTTGCCCTCCTTCGTCCTTTACTTCTCTGTTTGTATTATTTTTAAAAACAGCCTTTATGCACTGATTTACTGAGGAGTTGCCAAGTGCAGTGTATTGTGCTAAGTTCTGTGATGGCTATGAAGACAAATCAGAATCTACCCTCCGGGAGACTGAAGGGAGATAAGTAACTCCCGAGCTGATTGTAGGAAATAGTAGATGTCTGAGCATGGTGCAGGTAAAGAGCTAGAGGGGACCCTGTAGGAGACCCTGCGGCTTGTGCTCGGGAGGATGGCCTGTGGCAGTCAGGAAAGATTTCATGGAGGACAGTGTTCGAGTTGGACTTTGAGTAGTTTTGGGGCATGGGGGACAGGGGCTGAGGACAGTTTGGGTACTGAGTAGAGCATAAGCAACGCCTTGTAGGTGGGAAAG